GACAACCACTTAGCCGACGAGACACTTGGGCGACAGCAGTTAACCGACAGGACATTTAACCGATACGTGCATTTAGCCGACACGAACAGGTAGCCGACAGGACATTTAGCCGAACCGGACATCTAGCCGACAGGATATTTAATCGGCACGGCCATTTAACATTTTTAGCTTGTTTTATACATTTTTACCTTCTTAATATTAACTTACTCTTATTACTAACTAATTTACATTTTCACACTATATGCATGTGTGTGTGTGTGTGTGTGTGTGATTATGGCAAAACCTCGAGGGCTATCTGCCTAAGGGGAGGGATGCCTTCGTGGAGGACTTTCTAAGGAAAACTGGCTCGTCTATATACATGACTTTTACTTGATTTCTTTCATACGTTTCAACCTTCATGATTACAATATAGTCCTAATTTTAACATCATTCGTACATTTTCAGATCCTATACCCGACTTTTATTAATTTTAGATCTAAAGTTTAACTTCTTTTCTATTTGTTCATGTTTTAAGTTTCCAACATACTCTGAATTTTAACTTAATTTCCCATATTTTCACACTATCTACATGACTTTCATTTAATTTTTAACTACTTTCATACGTTTTAACCTCCGTTTCTAACCATATATATGAGCTTTATTTAATTTTAAACGCTATTTTTAACTTGTTTCGTACATTTCAAACCTTCGTAATTTTTAAAGTAGTCTAATTTTGAACTTGTTTATTGCATTTTCCTATTATATACATGAACTTTAATTAATTTTGGATGTAATTTTTATACTTTACTGACACTTTTTTCCTTTCTAGTATCCAACATACTCTAAATGTTAGCTCTTTTTTTTTTATAATTTTCGATTGTAATCACTCTTTTGATTTTACTATTTCAGCTAAATTTACATGTTTAAATGTCTTAAACATAGAGATAGTTTAGAATTAAGCATTTTATTTTACAACCGATAACTATTATTCATATCCAATTCGTTGAATAGTCCTTACTTAGTCTATATTACATAGTACTATTTTAATTTGCCAATTCTACAATTTATCATTCTGCAGTATTCTTACTATGACTGATTCACTGATTTTACGTCATTATTAATCTCATTTTAATTTTCAAGCTTTAATATTTCTTGCATATTCTGGTATTTCCTTATATTTTTTACATCATTTATATCTGAATGCACGCTTTTAAGCTCTTCTCGGTTTTGAATCTCGATTCTCATTAACTTAGTTTGATAGATTCCAAATTTTTAGAATGAAATATCAACTTTTGTTCGTAATTTTAGAACCATGTTCGTTGTTTCGTGTACTCATATAGAAATCTTTCTTATTATTTTGAACTCTTAATACCTTTTAATTCAGTATTTTTTGCTAATTGACTACATCTTAAATCACTTCAAATGTCCCGACTATGCTAATTTTCAGTTTATTACCTTTCTCCTACACTAAGTACGGATATTTCATGGACAACTTTCATGTGAAATCAACGATTATTTATGTTACGTATACAAAAGAAAGTCCTAAGGTAAGCATTTCCAGTATCGAATCAGAGGTGAATGACCATCGATTTCACCCATTGCTTATCATTTCATCCCTTGAAATTTTGTTTTATTGATATACTTTTATTTCTAGCGCAAAATGTTAACACATATTTTTAACTTAGTTCAGTTCTGATTTAATTCATTAGACAAGTTCATATATAGTCTATTTTTTAAATTTCTTATACTAGGATTTTCTATCTTGAATGTCAGTTTTCATTCATTTATTTACGAATTTATCTTCTTATGAACGAAATCTTGTGAAAAACTACCATAACTTCACACAACATACATCATTACCAATATAATTATATTTGCAGAACCAACCAAAGAAAGAAACATTAAGAGACATTTTACCAAATTCTGCGCTACATTTCGAATATTTTAACCTTTCTAATCCCGAATACAGAAATTCCTTCTTAAAATACTCCTTATATCAGTTAAATATTCCTTACTAATGCCCATTTAATGAATAATAACCCCTTTTTATCGTTGAGTTTGTTACTCAAACATTCGTAAAAGTTTTACAAAATATGAAATCCGTAATAAAACAAATTCCAGATTTTAAATTTGGGTTTCTAGATGCTCATATTCGCAGTAGGATTGCGTCATTCAAAATTCGATGGCTCTATGTACATTTGTTTTATCACAATGCGAGAAATATACATACATTTATGCAGATTTTTCCTTATTTAATTTCTTAAAATATAGTGCAGGAATCTAACATTTGGGTGGCAACAGTTTGAAAAGTGAAACGGACATTTATAGTGAACCAAGGCAAAATCGCAAAACGAAAACAATAGTCCTTCAGGGACAAAGCCCCTTTGGATTTAAAACATTTTGTATTAAAATACATATTTACTAAAATAATTTGTTCACACAAATTTTCAATTCTATCACGTAAATGTGACAATGAAATATTCTTTAAAATGTCATCATTGTCATAAATACAACAGCAAGTGTCTACATAAAGTTTTGAGCAAGTCTTTTAATGTTCATTGACAATATTGCTTTGTCAGTATTATTCATAGCTTTTTCCCAAGTCGTCTCCATGATACAGGGGTGACGACGCTGACTTTGATAATCGACTGCACATCCCTCACAGATAAATATCTCATTGAGACTCGTTATGTACTCTGGTAAATACCATTGTTAACTTTCTGCATGCATTGCTCGCTAGTTCCAGCTGCTGGCATTTTGATCGCCGTTTTCTTATCACATGTGGTAACACATTTTGAAATAGAGCAGTTTGGATAGTATGTGTTATTTCACTGTTATAAATCTAAAAGTTTATTGGTCTGATATTGACTCAAACACTTTTATATGACAAAAACAAACGTTTGCACTGTTGCAAACTCAGCCGATAGGGGGCGTTAGTGAGCCCTTGAATTTAAAACTGATTTGTTGACTTTTATCTTTAGAATGTAGCTAAATGTGTAAGATGTTACTTGTCAAGTGAATTCTTCCTCGTATAATGTGTCAATAAAGGATTAAATGCTAAGTAATTTTCAATTACTCTTCTTTAGAAGCTGAGAAGATCAAGAACCAGGTAAGAGCTATTATTTATATCCGATTTTGTTTTATGGTGCCGAGCTACCGAGAGCTATAGTAATTAAAAATGGAAGAGCCTAGTAAATTAGAGAAGTTAAGAGTAAATGAAAAACTATAAGAACTTCTTTAACTAAAATTGTGAATAAAATAAATGACACATTAAAAGGGGACAATGTTGATTATGATGATTTGGATGATTTAAAATGTCAGTTAGAAGAAAAAGGTAATCAGATCTATCAGCTAGATTCTACTTTCGAAAACATTATAAGTGATTAAGAAATGCTTGAAGCTAATGTTCTGACAAGCCAGGAATATCGCGAAAAGATTACGAGTTCCAAATCGAAACTAGAAAGACACTTTAAGCGTAAACGTGAAAAGGAAAGTAAAATTGATGCACACAAATGAATCATCTAGAATTTCTGAAGAAGGGGTAATTATTAATTATCATAATGTTAAACTGCCGAAATTAAAAATAGAACCGTTTGACGGCAAATACGAAAATTAGCAGGGATTTTGGGGACAGTTTAAAGGTGCAATTCATGAGAATAAACAATTAATAAAAATTGATAAATTTAACTATTTAAAATCCTTCTTAAAGGATTTCGCATTAAAATATATACAAGGATTGACATTAACGCAAAATAATTACGATTTAGCTGTTGAGCTATTAAAAGATCGACTTGGTAAAAACGAAATTTTTGTACGTTCACATATAAACAAACGTTTAGGCTTAACTCCTGTGAAATCTTGTTCGAACTTAAAGGAACTGAGACAATTACATGATATAATTACTATTCAGATTCGAAGTCTCGAAACAGCAGGAATAGAACTAAATAATTACGGGAGCATTCTTTTCGCCATTTTAGTAAAATTAATTCTTGAAGATATCGTATTAGAATATAATCGTTCTGTTAACGAAGAAGACTCGTGGAAATTGTTCAAAATTACTTCAGTTTCTTAAAAGGGAAATAGAAACACGCGAGAAAACATTTTTATTTCGCAAGACAGACGAAGCCGATAAAATGAAAATTTCGCAGTGAGAATTCTAAACGTCTACCGACAGCAGCAGCGTTAAAAAATACTGCAATTAAAAATTTGTGTATATTTTGTTCTACAGATGAACATACGATCGATAAATGTCCTTTACTTATAAGTGAACGAAAAGCTATTTATTACGTCTCGGATATTGTTTTAAATGTTAAAAAAATCTCATGTTTTTAGATTTTGCCTCGATCGAATACGTTGCAAGAGGTGGGGTAGAAAACATAGTCATTATATTTGCGAGGAGAGATCAGTGACAAAAGGCTTAACGGGGAATGAAATAAACAAAATAAGGATTGATGACAGCGATATAAATCATACATCAAATTATTCCGTTTCAAGTCGAGAGGGTTGCAACATATGAAAATTAAATGTTTATTCGATACAGGGAATGAAAGAACTTTTATTGATAAACAGATATCTCGTAAATTAAAGTTGGAAGTGATATGTCAGGAACGTTTAAGTATTTTTGTTTTTAGTTCCAAAGCAGAAAAAATAATAATGAGTAACCGTGTGAAGGTAAACTTGAGAAGTGTTTATAATTCGAAGGAAGTAATAACCTATAAATTTCCTATTCGAAGGAAGTAATAAGGTATCGAAACTTCGTGTTATAGTTAAAGCACCTGGTAGAGAGATTAGTGGTTATTGTAAGCAGATGAAAATATAAATGGCAGATGAATTAGATTCTGAAACCTTAAGAATATTGTTTTTAGTTGGTTCAGATTATTTTTGAAGTATCGTTACTGGGAAAATAAAACGAACGCTAGGATCATTAGCAGGAATGGAAACGAAACTTGGTTCAACGGATCTAACGCATCAATCAGATCGAATTCTAAGGAAGTCAAAGTAATGAAAAACTATTGTTCGAAATGAAAACGTGGAAGAAAATATTTGATTTAAAAAGTTTGGGAATCGCGTGCAATGAAAATTTTAAAGATGATGAAGTTTTAAGGGAATTCGAAAGCTCTATAAAAATGGTTAATAGTCGCTATGAAGTCAGTCTTCCGTGGAATGAAAATGTTGAATTTTTATCCGATAACTATGCCATTGCCGAAGAGCGTTTTAAAAAATTGGTTAATAAATTTAATAGAAATCCTTTCTTTCTTAATCAATATAAGGAAATCATTTCGAAGCATGTTGCTGAAGGAATAGCCGAAAAGGTTGATTCCAGTATGTCTGAAAGTAAATCTAAAGTTTATTATATGCCTCACCAAGCAGTAATTCGTGAAGATCAATTAACTACAAAAATGAGAATTGTTTTTGATGCATCTTCAAGTGTAATAAACTCCGTTTTCCTTTTTGACTATCTGAACCCCGATCCGAATTTAACGTCAGATTTGTTGGCGTTATTTCTGCAGTTCAGATTGAACAGGGTTACCTTGACAGCTGATATTGAAAGTGCATTCTTGCAGATGGCATTAGCACCGGAAGACAGAGATGCTGTCAGATTTCTGTGGATTAAAGATGATACGAACATGGAACCAGAAAAGCTGAGAATGACGCGGGTTAGTTTTGGACTAAGGTCAAGTACATTCTTGCTAAATGCAACATTGAAACACCACGTAAGTGAGTATGAAAAAGACTACCCAATTGCGTTCCAAATCATAAGTAACAAATTATATGTTGATGATCTTATCCATAGTTTGCAAGATGAAGGAACTGCCTTTAAAGTACATCGACAGGGGAAGTTCGTTTTAGGAGGAGCTGGATTTACCATGAGGAAATGGCGAACAAACACTCTACTTCAGGATCGATTCAATGAGAAAACTGCTTTTGATAATTCGTTTTGTAAGGTACTCGGCTATTGCTGGAATTCTTTGGAAAAATGTATAAGCATTGACAACGAAATGTTGTTGAATACGAAAAATGCATATGAATTCAAATCGTCGAAAAGAAGTGTAATACGAACTGCTGGAAAGGTGTTTGATCCAACTGGACTCATTTCTCCGTTCACAATTAGGACTAAAATGATACTTCAAGAAATATGGAAGAGAAGGCTGAAATAGGATGAATCCTCACTACCAGATTTGGCGAAAAGATATCAAGCTTGGTTCGAATAATTGCAATACTTGAACGAAGTGACGTCACCACGGCATTTATTTGAACTGAAAGAAAATGACGAATTAACTAATTGGCAATTTCATTGTTTTGTAGATGCAAGCAAAACAGCCTATGGAGCTGTAATTTATTTACGTTACAGCGATTTAGTTCGAACCTCTAGTTCAGTTTTAATAGTTTCAAAATCAAGAGTTGCACCAGGGCATGAAATTACATTACCTGGGCTGGAACTTCTTGCAGCGCTTGTAGGAGCTAGATTATTTCAGTACATTTGAAACAACTTGGAACTTCTGAAGGATACTAAATTTTATTTCTGGTCCGATTCAATGATTGTTCTTCATTGGATCAAAGGAAATTCTCGAAAATTGAAGGTGTTTGTAAAAAAACAGAGTCGAAGAAATAAGGACTGTTTCTAATTCAGATTGGTGGAATCTCTGTTCCGGAAAGAAACACTAAGCAGATTTGCTGTCTAGAGGAGACAACTTAGTTGCTCTTAAGGACAAGGAACTGTGGTGGATTGGACCACCTTGGATAAGGAAAGACGAAGACCACTGGCCACAATCGAGAAATGAAATTGCTGCTTCGTTTGAAGCTGAATAGAAAATTCTATTACGTTTTTTGTAGGAACTGAATCAGAAACACTTTTTGACATACGGAAATTCAGCAAACTTAGCAACGTCTTACGAATCACAGCTTGGATTCAGAGATTTATATATAATGTGAAGAATTTACACAATAAGAAAAATTGGTGTTTAACTAAAAGAAGAACTTCAACTGGCTGAAAAGTATTGGATCAAAAGAACATAGATGGAGTACTTTCCGCAAGAATATTTGGCTTTAACTAAAGGAAGACCATTGCCAGCAAATTCAAACATTAGGCAATTTAACCATATTCTAGATGAAAGAAGGAGGGCGTCTTCAGTATGCTAATATTTCGCAACAAGAAACACATCCAGTTTTGTTGCCAAGTCACTTGTCTGATCTGATCATTAATGGTCCTTTGAAGAGCGTTTGGGTGAGCTTTAATTCTTGGGTCTCTAGTAGATTGCCATAATTTCCAAATGCGATTTTTATATTTAATATTTCGTCTGATATTATTCGGAAGAGGAAGAAAATGGTGATTACTGATTAGTTTATTGGTAGCAGAACTTAAAGCTTGTTCGACACTGTTGGTAAAATTTTGAATTTCCGTGTCTAAGGCTTCTTTACTGCTAATGCAAAGATTTCCTGGTATAGTTTCAGCCAGAATTTGAGAATATTCATTCCAACTGGTAATTCCAATGCTGCGACCGAATGCAGGAATGTAGCAGTTGATATTAATTTCAAGCAAGGTAGGATTATGATCAGAAGATAAAGCAGGAATAATAGAAGTTTGACTATTGTAACTGAGGTTATTTGAAAGAAAAAAAATCAATGATGGAGGAGCTATGGTTATCAGGTTCAGTGTTTTTCCTTACTTGCTTGGGGAACATTCAAGAACCTGACTCGGAACAGGGAGCTTACTAAAGCTATGTACAATAAATGTGGGAAGTAGACAAGATACATAGGAAGGTATACGAACCCTTATTTTTCACTCTTTACAATAATTTCCGTACTTCGGAATACAGAGACCACCACTTGTGGTCTGAACGTAGAATATAAAAATATTAACTAAACTCTAACTTAACTTGGAATAATAAACAAGGCCTACGTGAAGATTGGCGTATATTAACAGGAACCGTATGTAGTACAGAGAACTGTTAACACTACAATACGTTTAAAATTATCAGAGGATTAAACCTCTGGCCTGGAAGGCAACCAGCAACCGAGTAAAACTGCTAAGGCAAGCGGCCTGCTTCGACTAACTCCTTCCTCTCTTGCTTGGCAAAAAGCCACAACTTAAGTACTTTGCGTTCGCCAGACAAATTTGCATAAATAAGTTAAAGCTTTTAATTCTGGCCGGAAGTAGAAAATAAGAATTGATAGTAAAGATTTAAAATAAAATAAACGTTAGTAAAACTTGAGATCCTTACATGGTAACCAAAATGTGTTGGTTCATAAGGAGCATGTATAACATATATTTTTATCTAGGATGAAATTGAAAATTTCAGTACCTTTTCTATTGCTTGCACCAGGATTCCAACACTGATGTTTCGCATTGAAATCACCACCTACAAGAGAGGGATAATTAGAGCCCAAAAGATGTTCAATTTCAGCCATAATTGGTCTATGGTTCGGTGGAATATAAATATTGGTAATTATGAATTTGTTAAATTCAATTTCAATTTCAATAGAATTACTCTCAAAAGAAGTAGCTTGGTTTTGTTTAAGTTGACGCTGTATACTCCCTTTAACGAAAGTAATAATTCCACCTCCTCGCCCTGTAGTTCTATCAGATCTGAAAGTAGCATAATTTGCATAAAGTACTTTGTTTGCAGGTTGTAAGTGAGTTTCTTTATTAACAGAACATCCGGTTCCAATTCAAGAATAAGATCACCCAATTCATCCTTTTTGTTGTTTAAGCCATTTGCATTCCAGGAAATAATTTTAAAGCTTTTCATATTGACATTTTTAGGCATATTAAATGTAACTGCAGACTTTGTCAATGATGTTAACTATGATGCCGATTTTGTCAATATCCGGTTTTTGTTTTTTCATTTCTTTTAGGCTCTGGTTATTGTAGTCCATATAGTTTTTAAAGATCCAAGATTGAAAATTTCTGAGAGCGAATTATTTGCTTCTTGAGGTTCAGAGTTTGGCGCATTTTGATTATTTTCTGGATTTGTGTTGAGAGGAGGGAAATTATCTTTATGCAGATTCAACGGATTTCTGATAGGAGGTTTGCTGGGAGCAAATTTAGATCTATTTTGTTGAGGTCTTGCTGGGCACTGAGAGAAATTTGCTGGATGTGGCAAAAGGTTTGCAGAGGTTATATATATAACTTTACAGCAGATCCTGTTTTAACAAATAATAAACAAAATACATAAAACAACCAATAAAAAATAACATAAAGAAAATATAAACAAATAAAATAGGATTAAGTTTCAGAATACATCGGACGTGACAGAAAGCTATAATTCTTTTTAAGCCAATAAAAATGCGATTACAAATATCTCAACACTCCTCCTTAATCGCACATTATAGAAAAGATAGAATTACACAATTTGTAAACAGCTCAATGACAATAGTTCATATAATTTTGTTTTGGACAGAGCCTTAGTTAACAAATCTGCGGTTTGTAAACTTAATTGTACATATTCAGTTTTAATTTAATATTATTTCCTTTAACAGTCTTACGAGTGAACTTTAATTTTATTTCAATGTATTTCAACTTACCTGAAAAGTTTTCATTAACAATACTTTTAATACATGACTGGTTATCTGCAAAAATATAAACATTTTTAACACTGGACATTTCATTTACTACATTTTTTATTCATAAAACATCTTGAATACCTTTGCATAAAGCAATTTTTTCAGCTTCTGTTGATGAAAGTGCAATACACTTTTCTTGTTACAGCCATAATAGGATAGCACCACATAATAGGACAGTTTGAAAACATTATAAAGTAACCAGTAATTGATTTCCTATCTTGAGTATCTCCCCCCTCAATCTGCATCTACATACAAACATACGTTTGCCCTTTCCAAATCACCCTTTTTGTATATCAGTTTTAAATTTAAGGTGTTTTTCAAGTACCTAAGAATTCTCTTTAGAGCACACCAGGCAAAATCAGTAGGATGCTCCTGCAGTTGGCTTAAGCAATTTACTGCAAATAAAATATCTGGCCTTGTAATATATGCCAAGTAAAGATCCAATTAAATCTTCGTTTGGGTCATGAAATACATTTCCTTTCCGAAAATCAGCTGCTGTAGGTTTTGGTTCAATGGGAGTTTGGGCAGTTTTACAATCAGACATTTTAAATTTATCAAGTAGTTTTTCAATACTGATGTAAATATAAACAACTGAACTCGAACTTCAGTTTAATGTCTAAAATTTCTGAGACACTTTCAGATTTTGACATTTGAAATTCTCTAGATAACAATGATATTATACTACTTATTTCCTTTACACCCGAACCTGCAATTAATAAATCCTCTCCATTAAGAGCCATCATTACTTTCTTACAATTTAGATTTCTCATGAAAATACATGTTTCAGAGTCCAGTTGCTTATAATTTAATTTAATAACAAAATTAAGAAATTTCTGATACCATTGTCGAGGAGACTGTTTAAGACAATATGAACTCTTTTTAAGTTTACATTTCTTACCACTTATATCATCATATTCTTTGGGCTGGTCCATGTAAATAGTTTCATCTACCTTACCGTTCAGAAAGCTGTCTTGACATCTAAAGTAAAAGTTTGTAAACCTTTGTAGCGGCAGCGCTAAACAGGCGATACAGACTCAAAAACTCTGGAATAAAGCCCCAACTGGCGAAACAGTAAATCTGCTTATCTGCTTGACAACCCTACGGGCTGACGGGAAGAGAAGAATTTTCCGCGGCAGTTCTGGGTAACGATTTCAGTGTGTGTGTGTGCGTCTGTGAAACAACTCGTCTTGCGCCTTCCACGTGATATGTAACTTCGATCTGGGACTGTACGCTTCCTTAAGCCATTATTATATATCTATATTACTTCTCCTTATTAAATCTCATTCTTAATGTTAAATGCCTATCTCAATTAAGATTGATATTTTTCTAGGTAAGGTTATCTATACTTTTGTAGGCACGCGTTACTCGCGCGTACCTCACTGGTGACCCTGTCTCTCGCTCCTTCTATTTCAGATTCCTAATGGCTATCTGTTTCAATCTTTCTTATAAAGCTAAAAATATGCCTTATTTTGATGAGCAAGCTCTTTTTTCTGAGTGATAACTGCTCCATCCTTTTTATTTTCCTTAATATCTTTCTCATTTTATGGTACGGATTACACGAGGTTTGTCACACTGTTAAGAAGTGTTACAGTTT